CATCAAAGCTCAAATCAAGGTGTAATTGAAATAGAACACATCCCGCACACACCCAATAAGTTAGCCACTATGAGGGTGTTGTCATCAAAAGTGTTGGATGTCGAGGAAGTAATATCCATCGTCTTTAGATTACCTGCAAAACGCAAGATGTGGACCATCGCTTTTTCCTCTGTTTCTTCTCTTCCTTTATACCCAATCCACTCCACAGCTTCCACGCTCGAATTCAAACATTCGGGTATAAAATCCGGTCGCTTCCACTTTTCTCTTAAAAGGTCGCGGCAACATCTTTGTTGTTTGAACCTGAGAACTCGCAGAGTAGGGGTATGCATTAGTATAAAGGAGAAACAATCCAGCGAGCATATAGCACATAGCTCTACACAGTCTTGATCGATATTTAGAGCCAGTTTCCAAACATGTCGCCATCGTTTTGACAAAACACTCGTCCCCACCACATTTTTTGTCGGAAGGAATGACAAAATCGTGACTAGTAAATCGTCAGGCAACTCACAAATTCTTCCCATATTCGAACAAACCTTAGTTGATTTTGGATACATTGAGAGATCAAACAAAAAGTTGTAGGAAACAAAGAATTCCTCTCTCAGAAATTGATGAAGAATCTTCGGAATGAATGAGATCTTGATTGATTGATATGTTATTTATAACTTGTAAAAATAGAAATCATAATACTTGTAAAATTAGAAATCCTAATATAAATTTAAAAAGGAAAAGATATTGTTTTTCCTTTATATGAAGACCATATAGGCCCATGTAACTTATTTTGTTGTTGTGATTACATGGTTTTGGTTGAGCCCGAATTTTTAAGGGCCAGGTCGATTCAATTTTTTTTTTTTTTTTGCCGGCAAATATTTTTTTCATTCATTAAAGGCTCAATGGGCTATACATAATTCGGAACCCAACAACTCCAATGTTACAGATTTTCGAGCTAATCTCATTAGTTACATATAAAGAAGATCAACAAAGCTTAGTTACAGATTTTCAATGGGCTTCATATCTGCTCTCACATCAACAAAGCTGCTCAATTGGTAAATGTAATAAAGAAGATCCTTCACCTGCACAAGTTCATGAAAAGCTCTAACTAAGCTTTGATGCTAAATAAAACGTCTAAAACATTCGGAATCCATCATCAAACACACACATAAACATACCTGCAAGAAACCATCCCACACGAAGCATTATAACCGTAACAGTACGACAAAGGTCAATTGTAGGCAAACTCAGCGATGTAAGCACACACTTGACTGATTCAACATTCCCCCGAATCTCACCTCCTTGACGTCTTTCCAAACCGATCTCTACGCACAAGATATCTCTCTCCCCATCAGTATACCTCTCACTAGCACCCAAAATCACCAGTTTGCCACCGAAATTCGTCATTTTAGCATCAGGATAAAAGAGCTTAGGCAAACCATGTATACCTTTCACAGCTACCCAATCCTTCTCCTCTGGATCAAATACGATTAGTGAACTTCCAAGCATACTACTTCCAAGAGGATCAATAGTATACAACCTATGAGCCATGAATAGCTTATATAGATGGTAATCACATGATGTATGCAGCCTCTATTCAAAGGAATTGGAGTAAGTACCCATTTAACAAAATTTCCAGAAGATGAATAAAACCCAAAGCAATCACTGAGAAACCAATGGGTTCAAAACCCCCACTCTCAATCCATGGAAATAGCATATTCTCATCCAAGCAAGTTGTAGAAAAAAGTTTCAGAACAAAGAAACATACCGTGACTATGTCTTGGGGTTCCACCTGAAGGAAAAAATCAAAGTCAGTTTTTATTAGTGCTGTGTAAGATAAACCACATCACTCTAAGCATCATTCAAGAAGATTAGATACCTGAAGATCATTACAGAGAACCGAGACACCATCAGCTAGAATCATATCAGAGTATTTGTCTGCAAAATGTAATACGACAATTTTAAAACCAAAAGATACACAAAAACATATTAAAGTTAGCTTTGATGAACTCAAGAGTAACAACAAGTAGCTTGCCTTTATATCGATTGTAGAGCTCCTCCAAGCGTCTTGTATCAGCATTGCTTCTTGGTTGGGGCTGGCTGTAAAACACATCAAACGCTGCTTCGAGGTGCCAATCGCTTGCTTTGAGAGCCTGAAGAGCACTCTTCTCACTGCCCACATTATTAACATATCACCAAAAACGCAATTTTGAGATATATGAACAAAAGCAAAGAACACTGCAACACCAACTAGTTCCTATTTTGCCTTATGCAACACAACAAAAGTAGCTATAAGACTGAGACAGATCCATAGTTACCTAGCTCCTGTTATAGCCACGAACTGCTGAAGTTTGTCACGGTGGCTTCTACTCAACTTATGCTGCACAAAACGGAATCACATGATTAGAAATACCCACAACGATGACCGGTAATCACTGAATCTCAAAATTGAGGGACCTTCTATTGAAACGAGTTTATCAAAAAGAGTTTGGTTTATGGAAATTCCAAAAACCCCAAAAAGCAAACACATCCAAAGGTTCCGGCTTCAGATACAGAGATAAGTGGATCCGTAAACCCAGAGCAGAAAACAAAGGAGAAGGAGGAGGAAACACGTACCATAGTGAAGAAGAATCCACAAGCGAAAACACAAAAAACCCTAACAAAGTAATCGAAGAGGATTTTGATGTATTTGTAGGAGAACCCTAAACTCTGTGAATCTATCTAGTTATCGCAGTAGCGAAAGGAAACGATGTGAGAGGAGAAGAGGAGTGACTGACTCGGAGAAGACTCACGATTGCTTCTGCTTTCTCACTTTCCTCTCTCCTCCGCCTCAATTTCTTCTTCAATGCACTCTGA